AATGACATTACTAAGTATCTTAGTCGTTTCTCCCACGACTTGGACATCCCCGACGATTATGGCCGCGTTCCTTGCAAAGTCCACACCTGATACGGCTTTGACTTGTCTCAACTTCGTCCATCTCGTTGCGGATGCGAGTTGACTTTGGACGACCTTTTGCGCGCAACATAGTGGCATCAGGAATAATCTTTGGACCACTAATTTCAGGTATTGCTTCCTCATTTCCGATTGACTCCCACGAAAAAGAATAAGCCTCGACCAAGTTTGTTGTCAAGAAGACATCGTCAACGTATGTGAACGCACTCTGCCTAACACTTAATGCAGCAACAACGGCGTGACTACACGGATACTTAAAGGCCTTAAACTTTCCACACTGACAGAATCTCTGTGGGAGGTTGACAGAATATGAACGCTCCCAACCTGCGTTAACCTCGAAGACAGTATGTTCAACATTGTATGCACGAACGTGGTGGCCTGTTGCATCTACTTGGTTCTTCTTGACCAATTCAACAACATTTTTGGAGTGACGATGAGCTGATTGAAGTTGTGCAACGACATTTGTTCCTCTCTCAACAAAATATGCAACCAATCTGCTATATGTATGCTTAACCAATGCAGTTATAGAGATATTTCTGGCCCCCTTGAAAACCCTATTGACAGATTCAGCCAAGTTTGTTGTCATATGACCGTACCTCCGTCCTTCAATATCATAGGCTCGCGACCACTTTTCCTTAGGAATGTCATCAATCCACTCAGCAATTTGAGGACTACTTTCACGGAAGCTCGCAAGATTCCTTTCAAAATCAACGATGGCCGGAATATAACCTGTACATAATGGACATCCACAAATTAAACATAAATTGATAAACATAATGGAATGACATAAATATGCATCGTGTCAATGAGTATACCTAAATTCTTTAGCATATGCTTTAAACCTTCATTCCGAAACTTTTGATTGAAGTTGCTTGCAATATGACGAATACAAAAGACGTGATATGCATTTGGTGGCTGCCAATTAGGGTTATTCTCCACAGTAGATATTATGCTACGATGCCGATCGGAGATCAAACATATGTTTGACATGTCAGTAACACGAGCACGAATATTAACAAGAAAATAGTTCCATGCATCCAAGGTCTTGCCTTCGACGATGGCAAAAGCAATCGGTAAACATTAATCATTACCACCTTGGGCTGTGGCCACCAACAATTTGCCTTTGTACTTCCCATATAAATGTGTTCCATCAATTTGAATGACGAGTTTGGCAAATTTGAACGCCTCACAACACTGTCTAAACATCCAAAATATGCGATGAAACACCTTCTTTCCAGTAACTAAGCTCTGCTCTGCATAAAGATCATTTGTTTGGATATTATAAAATGAACCTGGAGAAAAGCGCAACATGTATTCGTACCACCTTGGCAAAAAAGCGTACGATTCCTCCCAATCACCGTACATAATTGCGATCGCTTTCTGCTTCGCATACCACGCCTTTCTGTAGGAAACTTTAAAGCCATATTTAGCGGTTATCCTTTCTTGCACCAAAGAGATTGACACAGATGGTTCTTCCTTTATCATTCCTGCATTGAAGAGGACCCAGACTCGATAATAGCTCACAAATTTAATTACAGAGCAGTACGTAAACATTGACATGTCATTACGATAAATAAATACGTACCTATGATGAGATCTGCAATAACGTCTGCATCGAGTTGTCTATGTTCCTGCGAAATGTGCTCATTCAAACAATTGTGTTTTCCACCCAATCTCGTAATCTTCCAATTTTCACCAAACACTGGTTTCATGGCCCTAATGCGCCACGGGCAACCCTTATCATACGCACAACATTTCATGGATAACTTTGCAGGCGTGCTCTCAATTACAATTGCTTCTTGATGCTCCCTAATGAGGAGGTGCTTAAGTGCCATTTGAACATCTTTTTTTGTTGCAAATTCTTGATTGACAAACAAATTGTCACCCAGTTGCCACGGACCTTGTATTGAACCCGATTCTAAGACCGTACCGTCAGTGCAAGATTCTTGTTCGCTCTGATAACTCCAATCAATGTAGGAACAATGCGGAATTCCTTGCCAAAAAGGAATAACAGCTTCGTCACCTGCAACTGCGGATTGTAACTTATTAATACAAACTTCATAATTCAGGTATTAAATTAGGTATGTACTCAACTATATACACATTATTTCAATTACCTTCATGATGAATCCCTAATGGGGAAGACGCAACGTCATGCAACTGCGTCATTTGCGCGACCACTGGTTGATGGAATATTGGGATTTGAGACGCACCCATTTTGGCACCTTCATCTCCTTCGGAAACACTAGCATCCTCCGCCAGAAGACGTTCTTCCATTGCGATATTTTCATCATCGTCGTCGTCGTGCATTTCCCAAGTCGGATCATTTTCATCTCCCTCAGAATAGTTACCAACTGGAGACGCATGAGCGGCAGACAAAGATGGAAGACGGGCAAAATTTAAATCAACTGACTTCACCGGTAAGGGAACATTCTCGTTTGCGGCAATGTAGACATACAACTCCAGAAAATCTGTCCTTGACTGGTTTAAAAATTCTTCCATTGTCATCTCCAGGTCTTCATCGTCAACCACTTGCAAACTAATGTATTTATCACATTGCCATAATCTTGTCGTAATCTGAGTGATACATTGGTTGCTTTGAAGACTTAGCTTCTGCCGAATTTTCTGATGCAGTTCGCCAATGGTTGCATTGCGTTCGATACGTGTCGGCCTTTTTTCACCTTCAAAGATGACACCTCGTCGACCTTCTACCTTCCTACCATTGTAATATAACCCAACACAAACAGAATCAGGACGTAAGCTCATTCTTAAATAGTAGAAATAAATTTCAAATACAAAGGGAATAGATATGAAGAGTGAGAGAAGAAGAGGTGTGAAGAGAGAGAAGAGGTGTGAAGAGTGAATGGAGGGGTGAGGAGATTAAACAGACTGCACAATGTGACGCCCCAATTGGGCGTCTTACCCTAGGGGAGAGACGCCCCATTGGGGCGTCACATGTGACGTCCAAATGTGGCGTCACATTGTGCATTAGATTAGTAAAAAATCCAAAAACTATCATATATGTGTAATTATTTTATTAAATTGCAATAAATAAATTTTTTTGCCGGTTATATTATGTTACATGATAAACATAAAACCCAAAGATTAAACCATTGTAAGAAATAGAAAGAGTAAACCATTGCAAGAATCACCCATTTGTTACCTATAAACTCTCAGTGTACAAAAAGAAATTAAAAATCAACCTCATTGTTTTAAAAAATGAAGAAGAAAAACTTTATAATTTACCATCAAACACTGGATTGACCATCTTAAATTCTTAACCCATCCGATTGACAAAATTAGAAATTGCCCTCCAAACTGAAAGAACACTAGCGACGCAATTGATTTTCCGCTCATCAGAAACATTATAAAAATTGTGCACCCAATGGAAGAATTTTTGAACTTCTAGCACACAATAGACAAACAGCTGGAAAATAAAGACCTATACCAACAGAAACTTCTCAACACAGCAGCTTCTAATAAAACATATAAACTTTTTCTACAACCAGACACTGACATTTCATAGGAGATTTTGATACGACAATAATTTTACATAATTTTTTTTTTAATCTCCATCTTAATAAATATTAAAGAACTAAAACTTTACCAAAATTTATAAAATAATATTAAAAAATAAATATAAAATTTTCATGCAATTATAGCCCATTATTATATGTCTGAAGAATTTTTAAATTTTTTTTTATCAATTCATCAATTACTTGTTCGAGGTAGAAATTTTTTTTAAGAATATTTAAACTCTTCTTATCAATTCTTTAACACAATTGTATAATCTTCAAAAGGGAATAAATATTTAGTAAGCTAGTGTTACATATATTCTTTTATTAAAAGTAGAATTAAAAGGAATTCGTATAAGGGTATATAGTGTCAGGCGGGTCCAGGGGGAAGCCTATGGCGGGGTCATCACCATTGAGTTAAGGCTACACCAACCGTAGCAAGTGGATCTGACATCATGTCTCAACCCAAAACCTTAAGGCATTGGGTTCATGGTTCCTTCCACTTATATACTCTTCACTTAGCCCATTACCAACCAATGTGAGACTCATCACACTTGAATATCTCAACAATCTCCCCCTCAAGTGTGAAACCCACCATTGATATGCTCTCCCACAACCGAGTACCCCAAGCGCAAAGTACTCAACCCGCCTCCACCCACCATTGATATGCTCTCCCACAACCGAGTACCCCAAGCGCAAAGTACTCAATCCGCTTCCTAGCCAATTATCAAGCTAGCTCGAGTACAACCCATACCAATGTCAGGCGGGTCTCAGGGGAAGCCCGTGGCAATGTCAGGCGGGTCTCAGGGGAAGCCCGTGGCGGGGGCCACCACCAATGAGCCAAGTTACTCCAAGTATACCAAGTGAGTCCAACACCACATCTCAACCCAAAACCTTAAGGCATTGGGTTCATGGGTCCTTCCACTTGTATACTCTTCACTTAACCCATTACCAACCAATATGTGAGACCATCACACTTGAATATCTCAACATATAAAATAAGGGAAGTATTACTCTCCTTTTAAATGAGGTAACTTATCTCATTTTCTCTCACTTCGATTTTCGCACCCCACTTTTTTCTTCTTTTTCTTTTTTCTTATAATGGTGAGACTCACTTATTTTCTCTCTACCACATAAGATAACTATCGTACGTGGAAGGAGATTAATAAAACCCATAAAATAAATATAATGAATCACTAGTTTCTAATCTTAATAGGTGATAATACTGGGTAGTGACAAATTTTTATGAAAGCAGCACAACAAAACAGAAAATATGAGGTTTTGTAGAGGGTATTTTTTTCATTTTTCTACGTTACTCCCTCAACATTTTATGTAATGACGCTTCAGTCCTATTCAACAACGCTTATGTTGACTCGAGCGTTGGACTCAGTGATTCAGCCAGTGTCGGTGGAAAAATCAAAGCGCTGTGATGCGAGCACCCCCACAGGTGCATACAAAACTACCCCATAAACCCAAAAACAGAGTTCTCTGAGAAAGGTACCGTTTTTTGGTTGTTTCTCAATCTCAACCATGGAAGCAAAGCAGAAAATGATGATGGGTCTGATTCTATTGTTGTTCTGTGTTTTGGGTGCGAGTGCTTGGACTGGTGAAATCCATGGACGAGTTGTTTGTGATGTTTGTGGGGATTCTTCTCTTGGACCTGAAGATCATGTTCTTGAAGGTCTCTTTCTCTCTCTTCAATCGCCATTTTATTTCAATTCTATGTGATTTCAACGGAGTTTTTGAAGTGGGTTTTTTCTATTTGTGATTAAAGTTGTTTGCTTTTGTTGTTCATAGCCTTATCGTTCTCCACCAATTGTTCAACTTGGGGGCACACTTGACTTGTGTGTTATGGTATCGCTGGTGTGGTTAGTGATTAACGTTTTAACCGTTTAGCACTTCATGGGCCAGTTTTTTGTGTTGTTTGATTAGTGGAAGAAGTTTGTCATGCAACAATAGACTTTGGACTTGATTATTGTAGTCGTTGGTCTGTTAGAACTGCTGCACATGTGATGGAACAATGAACATGTTTTCAGAATTTGTTTATCTGATGAGAAATACTGCCATCAGCCATTAGGAAATGATGATGATTATGATTATCACATATGCTGAATTATTTGTTTTATCCACTAATCGTCATGGATGAGATGGCTTTGGTTGGTTTGGCTAATGGATTTGCATATCTTCATAAGAATGCATAGCATGATTTAACTTCTGTTGAGAGTGGAATTGATTTTTTTTTTCTTCACCCAATCCCAAGTCTAATTTGATTTTTGGATGATTAATGTTCTTGATACAGTCTTATATATTGATTTTTGAATAATGGTACTGTAGGTTGGGAAATATATGTTTCATAATAGTCACTACTCACTATAAAGAACCAATTCAACCCAAAAGCTTAAGCTAATGGTGAGGCTACATCAATGGTTTTATATATCTCTAACATGCCCCCTCACACGAAAGCCCATGGGGCTTGAAGGATGGACAATGCATAGGTCCACCTACCTGTGCTGAGAAATTCTACAAAACTTAATTAATTATTAATTAAATAGGGGGCGGTGAGGATCGAACTCGTGATACTGAGGTTCTGATACCATCTAAAGAACCAATTCAACTCAAAAGCTTAAGCTAATGAGTGAGGCTACGTTAATGATTTTATATATCAATAACAGTCACTTCCACCTGGTCACATGGCAGTCCCATTTTTTTTATGTTTATTTGAATCAATGACAAGTAATCTCTAATTGTTGAGAACATGTCTAATTTCACTTTCTTACCCTTTCATTTTTTTGTAGGGGAACAGTTTTATGTGTTTTGTAGCCTTGTAGGTTGATCTATGCATGTGGATATCTGGCATATATATAGTGATCATGCTAGTTCTTGGGAAATGAAAACTACTTAACAATATGAATTGATATATCAATATAAGAATGTTTCTCATGATACAAAGGGTAAAAAGTTGAAATTAATGTGACTGTAAATCACAGTAATGTAGGAATTATGTTTCTGTTTAGCTACACTTCTCAGACAAATGCTGCAACTCTGTGAGAAGTGTCTAGGGACTGTTATTGGAACTTGCAACTCTTTGAGAAGTGTCTGAATCCTTAGGGTTTCAACTGCTGTATTGGCTAGACTCTTGTACTCAGCCTCTGTACTGGACCTAGCAACTTGTGGCTGTTTCTTTAGCCCCCAAGAAGTGGGCCCAAGTCCTGCCAATGCAAAGGAGTTCATAGTAGTTAGTTAGAGGAGAGAGATGTTGTTATATAAAGTAATTTGGGGGTGGGGTTTTCATTATGCATGTATTCATACTTGTTTAGTGGGGAAATTGAGAGACCTCTAGGGAACTCTTGAGCCTAGATATTTGGTTTGAGGGGGAGTTGAGGCTTTCTGGGTTTATTTTCTGCATTTAATATTGTGTTAGTGTATGTGAAAAGAGGCTATGCCTCCATTGTCATGAATTCAGTCTTGTATTTCTTTGGGTTCCATCAATTTGGTATCAGAGCACTTCCGATCTAGGGGTGCAGGGTGCTTTCTGGTCCAGATCCAAAAAAAAAATAAAAAAATAAAAAAATGAAATATAGATTTACTGCTGTTCCAGCATTTTATGGAGAAGGAGATGATGCTTGGGGATGGCAAATTGCTTTGGAACAATATTTCCAAATTGAAGGAATCAATGAAGATAAAAAATATAGGGAAGCTGTGAGAGGGCTCAGAGGGAGTGCGTTCAACTGGTATCAAGGTTGGAAATGGTTCAATCTTACAGCAAGCTGGAGGAAGTTTGAGAAGGCGTTCATAGAGAAATATTTACCTGAAATTATATTGGTAGATAGCGTAGAAACAGGAGACATAGAAGACAAAACAGATCCAAAAATAGAAGATGTCGATGTTGCAGAAAAGGAAGAAAATACAGAAGAAGAAAACGCAGAAGAAAGAGCAGATCGAAACTCAAAAAAAGAAGCCAAATATGACGGAGAGGACAGATTCGAAAAAACAGAGGAAGAGGAAGGAAGAAACGAAGAAGCGGAAGGGGGTGGAAACAAAAAAGAAGCAAATCGAAAATCAGAAGAAGACGATGCCGCCAAAGTTGAAAACGCAGAAGAGCGACACGAAGGTGAAGAACCAGCTCGTGAAGCAGAAAAACCAATCATCAACAAAGAAGATAAGGAAACAGTGACCTACAAAAAAAAGGTAGAGGCTAATGAAGAACGACAACAAGAAGACGATGCAGAAGAAGAAAAATATGGACAGAGAATCGAAGTAGTAGAGAAAAAAGAAAAAAAAAATGGAAGAAGAAGAAAGAGTAGTGAGCGAAGAAGACGACGCAGAAGGGGAAGATGAAGAAGATGCCGATGAGGAGACAACGCATGCAGTTCTTCTGACAGACTCGAAGGAAGACACTCGCGCAGAGGTTCGTCTTCATTTTTCCTTTGAATTTGGACGGACGATGACCCTTGTGCAGAGATTAGACGAAAGGGAGATGGTGAAGGAACGGGTCGGGTTTGTAGCTGGACGAGCCAATAATGGGTCAGATTATGGAAGGGCAAGTCACACCAGAACAGCCTTATCCAATCAGGCCTTTAGTAACATTGAAGGGCGGCCCAATGTTGGGAATAATGAGGTCAGAGATGGGCAAGGTAATGGGCCTGAATCAGGACAATTTAAGAGGGTTGCACTCACGGCCCATTCAAATAAATCAAACTGTGAAGGAATGGGGAGAGGGGGTGCTGGTTTGCAATTTGGGCCAAATACTTGTCACTGTGAGCCCAATTCTAAGGGTAACACCCTAATTAATGGGGTTCAGTAGCTACCCAAGGTGAATGGGGAAAGCCAAGGTTTGATACAAGGGAGTTCAGCGACCAACGACAATGACCGATGCAGTGGGAGATACCGACGATTAATGGCAGAGGAAGGGGCTGAAGATGAAATCGAAATTGGGGAAGTGGGTAACGTTGTTGATGCACAGTCCATTCAACGAAGCTTGCTCAGCGTGGTGGGCCATAATTGTTCGTTCAAACTCTGGAGAGAGGTTCATGGACGAAGAGGGGTGACCTTGATAGCTACAGGTGCTGTGCAGATTCTGAAAGCTAGGACAGCAAGTGAGGCAATAGAGGAAGTGTATCAGGGACAAACAGAGGACCCAATCATGTTTCAGACTAAATTCCAGCCAACTATTGTTTGCACCATGTATGGAAGTGAAATTGATTTGAAGGTAATCCATTGGGAATATACTGAAAGTGAGGTTCAAGAAACCAAAACGTTGTAGTTGCTAATTGGGTCAATATGCTTCAAGCAGTGGGATCCGGGTGGATGTTTACTCATATCACCTACTCTCTTCCTTACCTTGAGGACAAGGTGAATTTTTGAGGGGGAGTATTGATGGGCTATGACAAATGGGCCCAAGTCCAGCCAATGCAAAGGAGTTCATAGTAGTTAGTTAGAGGAGAGAGATGTTGTTATATAAAGTGATTTGGGGGTAGGGTTTTCATTATGCATGTATTCAGACTTGTTTAGTGGGGAAATTGAGAGACCTCTAGGGAACTCTTGAGCCTAGGTATTTGGTTTGAGGGGGAGTTGAGGCTTTCTGGGTTTATTTTCTGCATTTAATATTGTGTTAGTGTATGTAAAAAGAGGCTATGCCTCCATTGTCATGAATTCAATCTTGTATTTCTTTGGGTTCCATCAGGGTTTCAACTGCTGTATTGGCTAGACTCTTGTACTCAGCCTCTGTACTGGACCTAGCAACTTGTGGCTGTTTCTTTAGCCCCCAAGAAATGAGGTTAGGCACCATGTAAATTCATTAACCAAAAGTTGACCGGCTATCATATGGATACGAGGCCCAGACTATATTAAAGTAGGCTTGTAGAATCAACTGGTTGGAGTAAGAGACAATGGTGCAGAGTATCCTTTAGATACCTCAGGATACGTTTATCAGTTTTCTAGTGCTCATCAAGTGATTATGTGAGGAATTGACAAACTTTATTTAAACTAAAACTGATTTCTGGTGTGGTTGTAGTGGCATACAACAATACTCAACAATAGATTTGTATAGAGAAGGGTCGGTGATATAATATACCCCAAATTTTGTCAGATTGCAGCCATAGGTGTAGAAAGGTTTTTTGCAACAGCTAGATGAGTTATATAGCTAACATTCTCACTACTATATTTTCCTTGAGACAACAACAAAGAACCATTGGGAAGGCGTTTAACCTCTATTCCCAAAAAAATAGTCCAAGTTACCAAGTTGTTTGAGTGAAAACATTGAGTTCAACTTAGTAATGAGCTGTTGAATGAGGCGCAAAGAGCTCCCTGTGACAATTATATCATTCACATACATACAGCATCAAGTAGGGAATGTGTTGTGAATCTAGTGAGATAATCCCGAAGGGTTTTCATCCTTCCCTTGTTTAATTCTTGACCGGGGTGTGGGATGACTTCAGTCCCTTGCTGGTTGTAAAGTGCAGTAAGAATTTCTGCACCAGATCTTCCCAAGTGTTTGAATAAATTTGGTGGTAAAGAGCAACGAATTTCTGCACCAACGAAGTGCAGCTTTTTTTAGCCTTAAAGAAAAGGAGTAACACTCCTCATTCTGACGCAAATATACAAGGTTAAGGCTGCGTACAAGAATTGCTCTCATCCTTATCTTTGCTAGGCTAGGTTTAATAGGGAGTGATTTTTTTTTTTTTTTTTTAACACTTGAGAGTGGCCTAACTCCTATTGTTCATGTAAGTGACGTAGTGAGAGAATTAGTATTACCGTCATTGGAGTATTGATAGTAATGAAGACCAAACTTCTAGGAATGACCTGTTTGCAGAAACAGATGTTCTGTGACCACCCAATTTAATGTTGTCTCTATCAGAAACAGATGCTTCTTTCTTATCCTATAGTATCTGGCTTCTATGTAACCCCATCTTGAGATTTAACCATTTTGGTGATAATTCATAATGGGAAAATTGTTTGTCGTTTTAAATAACACAACTTATATCCTTTCACTCTCACAAAGAGGTGGGACCCACACATTTATATTTTTTGTCCACTCTCTCCCCTCCTTTATCTATCTCTTTCTCTCACTTAAAATGACACAACTTTACATCTTTTAAAATGATACACACTTTTCCCATTCATAATTTCATAACGTTATTTCCTTCTTTTGGATTGGGGGTTGGTTTGAAATTTAACAATGATACAACAAAGGAAAGTGGACAAAAAGTTCATTTCAAATTCTTGGCGTAACCTAGAATGTAGTTTCCATAGATTGATTTCAACATGTTTGTAACATATTATCATTTTTTTTAAATGATTTTGAGTGCTTTGATGCAGGTGCTGAGGTTGCTGTTCTTTGCATCACTAAGTCTGGGGAGGTTCTAAATTATCAGGCATTCACAGATGCTAAGGGGATATACACTGTTGCAGAGACAATGCCTGAGAGTGATCGTTGGGATGCATGTCTTGCTCGACCAATCAGTAGTTTCCATGAGCATTGCACTCATCTTGGCGAGGGTAGCTTGGGGGTGAAATTCAGTTACAATCACCCTTCAGGATATTCACACACTGTCAGAACCTTTGTTTATCGACCTACCAGTGTTCCATCTTACTGCATTTGATATATATTAGCTTGTTTCAAATCTGGAAGTGCCTGTGTGTTTGGTTGAACTACAATAAAAATTAATGATATATGGGCCCAGTTTCTTTATAGTATGTGCATATGTAGTGTTGTTCCTTGTGTATTTCTTAGAGCATAAGTGAGTAGACCATGAAACATTGTTTAAATAAATTGCAAATGACATTTTCTCTCAGAGTAATGCAAAATCATTGTAAATGGCAGTGTCATTGAGATAATGCAATGTGTTGAGAGATATAAGATTATGGCATAAATATGTTTTTGGTCCCTTAAAATTTGTAGTCATTTTTCGTTTTGTTCCTTGGTTTATGTTGTCAGCCCGTAACGGTTATCCAAGTAATATAGTACTATAATAATTAGATACAGTCTTAGAAGATATTGCTCTTTTTTATTCTTAATTACTAATTTATTACTTGCATGAAGATCACATAAAGAGAAAAGCAAGATTTCCAAATTAAAGAATGCAAAAACATGATTTGGGTTAATTAAAGACAACCAAGCAATAAGACCTAGGTTTAAGTATCCCATAACACTTTATTTAGATTCCTTAGGTTCTTTATTACTAACATTAATATATTAGTGTTTTTAATCTAGAGTACTAATTTATTTATAAGCCTCTTCCCATGGATATATATAAACATGCTTTCCTTACCTATTTCCCTATATGTCCATGAGAATTAAACTTGAGTTTCACTCATTAATAGGTATATTTCTAATCTACAATTAAAACACTTTATTCCATAGGTGAATGAACATGACCAAACACTATACTATTCAAGTTCTCTTCTGTTTATTTCATTAGAGTTTTCCTGTTCAATTTAATTAGTGGTCAATCAATTCAAGCATTGACCATAGATTGAATAAACAAGACCTTTCCATTAATTAAAGTAAGAAAGAACAATTATTGATCCAAAGTACACGTCAATTTCAATTAAAACCCAAGAGAAGAAGAAGATTATGATATCCTAGCTAGAGAAAACATCATGAAAATAAGATTCAACATCAAATACTACCAAAGAAAACAAAGAAGTTCGAGGCTTGATATTCGCTCTCTGTCTCCTTGATTTCCTTGGATAATTAAGGGTTTTATCCTCTCTCAAACCCTTTCTTCAAGCTTAGGATTTCATGCCAAGATGCCCTAAATGGCTCAAGAGCTTGTATCCTTTTAAGTAAACAAATCTAAAATGTTATCTAAACACAGTACTTCCTTTTTCATTGTGAGTTTTTAGTTTTGACCCTCTAACTTGCACACGATATTTCACCCTTAGACATTCAAACTGGGTTTTGGTGTCTCCATTAAAGTTGTATAGCTTTCTCATAGTTTTTGAATGCCATTGGAATCATCCCAACACGAGATATGTAGCTCCAATTGTGCACAAATCACCGCAGTAAATGCATTAGGTTTTTCTAATTTGATTCTCACTTCCTTTGAGTCTCCGATGGATCTTATAGCTTCAAAACACCAGAAAGAAATCAACAAATAAGACATAGCCATGAACAAGAATATTAAACAATAAAGCATATTGTTAAACAAAATCCAACAAAAGTCAAAGAAAATTATTCAAATGCAAAGCCAGAACCAAGCTAAGAATAAGTAAAACTATTTCAAATCTCAAAGTTTCAAAAATTCAATAATAAATTCCAATTTAAAAAATTGCACATGACAATTTTCCTTCTACAAATGCCAATGCTCCAAAACCAATTATTCCAACAAACATAATATATCAATAATAAATATTCCAAAACCAATTATTATAATTTTTAATTTTTTAATTCAAAATCACATTATTTCGAGAATAAACAAAGATAACTTATATGCAAATGTATAAATATTAAATCCTGATAATAATATAATAATACAAGGATGTTACTTGCAGTAAATTCCGTCTCCATTCTTGAACTCTCTTTCACGAACAACCACACCACACCCTTCAAATTCCTCAAAATTATAACTTAGCCTTTTCATCTTCTTCCTCTTCATTCAGTCTCAAACCCACCACCCCCCATCCAATGGAGGACCGCAACCACAACGACACCGGTTCGGTCCTATCTAAGAGACCCGATTCATTTGGCCGGTTCGGCCGGTTCGGCGGCAAGTATGTCCCGGAAACTCTTATGCATGCACTCACCGAGCTAGAAGCCGCGTTCCATGCCCTTGCTTCTGATGATGAGTACCAGGTCATGCTCTATTTTGTTCTTTCTTCAATTTTCTTTCATTTTGATTGTTACCTTCAAATTACAAAACCCACTTAGATAGTCCTGTTTTTGTGAAGAAAATTTAAATGGGTATCTTCAGAGACCAAAAAAGTTTCTGAATTTTGCTGAAAGAGCTTAGTGGGGTTCTGAGGGACTATATTGTTATCTTCAAATCCCAAAACCCGCTTAAATGGTTTAAGTTTTTGCGAAGAAAACGTAAATGGGTATCTTCAGAGACCAAAAAAGTTTATGAATTTTGGAAAAAGAGCTTAGTGGGGCTCTGAGGGACCATATTGTTTCCTTCGAATCCCAATACCCACTTAGATAGTTTAAGTTTTTGTGAAGAAAACGTAAATGGGTATCTTCAGAGACTAAAAAAGTTTATTAATATGGCAGAAAGAGCTTAGTGAGATTCTGAGGGACTATGTGGGTAGGGAGAGCCCCCTTTACTTTGCTGAGAGGTTGACAGAGCATTACAAGCGTGGTGATGGGGAAGGGCCTCAGGTGTATCTGAAGAGAGAGGATCTTAACCACACCGGTGCTCACAAGATCAACAATGCTGTTGCTCAGGCTTTGCTTGCCAAGAGGTTGGGGAAGAAGAGGATCATTGCTGAGACTGGTGCTGGTCAGCACGGGGTTGCCACTGCCACTGTGTGTGCTCGGCTTGGGCTGGAATGTGTTGTTTATATGGGTGCTCAGGATATGGAAAGGCAGGCTTTTAATGTGTTCAGAATGCGCCTTCTTGGTGCTGAGGTATGTTGGCCACTTGGTTGTACTTGTAATTGGTGTTTCATTTTATTAGGATGCTACATTCTGTGTACTAGTCTTTTGGGAGAATGAGAAGTTTATGAGAAAATACTCTTATGTTAATAACTTTGATACTACTTGTTCATGTGAATGAATGAACGACTTTCTATGTGCCTTAGCCTGATAGCTATCAATAGTTAGTATTTTCTTAGGGTGGTACATTTTGCGTGACCTCTTGGAGAATGAAAGGTTTATTAGAAATTGTCCTTATGTTGGATTCTACTTGTTCATGTGAATTATCATCTAATTGACTGATCCTGGTGGCTATCAAGTATCAACAGTTAGTAACTTAGTTTCTAGACTAAGTTTAAAGTTTAACATTGGAGATAAACTTGGGGAAAAGGCATCTAATTGTGAATGCTGGATGTACCCATTGCTAAACATTGACTTTAAACTATTTGTTTGACAATTTTTTAACAGGAACGTTTTCAATAGAGTTTAATGGTGTTTATTGATCCATGTAGTTGAACTTACAGAGTGTTCTGTTGTTTGGTAAATTTATCAATATGCTTTTTTTTCATTGGGCTTGATAATTAGGTAATTTTGTGATGTAGGTGAGAGCAGTCCATTCTGGCACTGCTACGCTGAAGGATGCTACATCGGAAGCTATAAGGGATTGGGTGACTAATGTGGAGACATCACATTATATTTTGGGTTCTGTTGCCGGGCCACATCCGTATCCTATGATGGTAAGAGAATTTCAAGCAGTGATTGGCAAAGAAACAAGAAAGCAAGCATTGGAAAAGTGGGGAGGGAAGCCAGATGTGCTGGTAGCTTGTGTTGGTGGAGGTTCAAATGCCATGGGACTTTTCCATGAATTTGTGGATGACAATGATGTTAGGCTGATTGGAGTGGAGGCTGCAGGGTTGGGCCTAGAAAGTGGTAAGCATGCTGCTACATTAACAAAAGGTGAAATTGGGGTTTTGCATGGAGCTATGAGCTATCTTTTACAGGATGATGATGGGCAAATAATTGAGCCTCACTCTATCAGTGCAGGGTAATTCATCTGGTAGATACTTGGTTACCCTTTTTCTTGCGTCTATCCAGATTTTGTTCATTCCAATTTTATTTCTTGTTTTCATTGTATAGGTTGGACTACCCTGGGGTTGGACCAGAGCATAGTTTCTTGAAAGATGTAGGGCGTGCTGAATACTACAGTGTTACTGATGAAGAAGCCCTGGAAGGTATGTGATACAACCCCTATCTGCTGACTCACCAATTGCAAAGAATATTTTAGATGACAATTCTGTTAGAAGTTAGAGAGAGGGTGCTAACGTGGACTAGGTGGGAACAAGGTGTGAGGAAGGGGTGAATTCTGTTAGGGGAGTTTGTTATATATTAGGGGTAAGGCTCATGTAGAGGTAGGCAATTACTTGGGATTGGGCTAGGAACTTGGGAGAGAAGGGATGCCTCTTGAACTGCATCCATTATCTGTAATTTCTTTCAGTCATTTACATTTTCTGCACTTTGTATTCTTCCTATTTTAGTAGCTACTGGTCTACTGCCGTTACTGTTTGTAATTTTCCTTTATACTTTCAATATACAAAATCTGGTTAATCCAGGAAATTCCTTTGTAAGTCGAAAATCCTGTCAGTAGGACTACCCAATATTTATTGCTTTGTCAAATGTATAATGATATCTTTGGTAAAACATAGTTCTTGAATTTTAGCTTTCATGGTTTAAGTTTCTTTTGCTTTTCTTTGTGTTTGTATGATTTTGATGTTCTCTTTATAACTACTAAATACATAAGATAAGGATGTAACTAAAATATGTAAAATCGAAAGAAACAAGAAAGAGATGAATTAAGTGACTAGAATTCTAAGAAAAAAATTATAACAAGTGGCTACTAAAAAGAATGTAACTAATTTCCACCTTTTATTGACGTGGCTTACTGTTAGCTTATATGGTAATATATGTTAATGGTAGCAGTAGTTATGAATCACATTCAATATTCATTTAATTATGCCATTTGAGCATCTTAGTCTGGTGTTTCTTTTATTTGTTTGATTTGCAATATATTTAGCATTGGGGTCCACAATATTGCAGTTTGAGAAGATATCTTGCTGTGATGTTGCTAGAAGAACATATTTTCCTGTACATTAATTTATCGTTTCAGAACATTTGAGCGAGACAAATATTAGGTGTGAACACCTTATCAAACATTATTGTAAGTTATCTGCTAAAAAATAAATGATATTTTCTGGAATAAATCCTTAAAAGATCAAGTTTTACTACATTGGCCACCATTTACTGGCATGAAAACTAAACCTTATGGTTATCAAAGGGTCAGACTGGCAATCATAGTTTCTTAATTTATGTCTGGGCTAATTTTTTCTGGTCTATTAGCTGTGTCTATGCTTGGACACCTCAGTAATAATAAAAAAATCATTTGGATCCTGGTGGAAATTTTATTAGTTTTGAAAGCAAGCTATGCAACATGCCATTCATCATCATGTAGTGCAATTATCATATATAATATATTCTTATTTTTTTTCCAAGTGTTTTTTATACCCTGTATCATGTTTCTTTGTATAAAATATATTGGGGTGCTGTTGTATCTGCAGCCTTTAAGAGACTATCCCAGCTTGAAGGCATAATTCCAGCTCTGGAGACATCTCATGCTTTGGCTTATTTAGAGAAGCTTTGTCCAACCCTTCCAAATGGAACTAAGGTTGTGGTTAACTGCAGTGGCAGAGGGGATAAGGACGTTCAAACTGCTATCAAGTACTTGAAACTTTGAAATTAGGGGTCTTACACTGCTATGACATGATTGAGTCTCCAGTATAGTTTGACAGCTTGGTTCTTGAATGGCTTTCTTTCTTATTGAGATTGCTATGAAGTTCCTGAGTTTGAGGTGGATCACTTATGAAAGAATTGATTTGGGAATAGTTCCCTTTGCGAAAATCATTGTGTTTAGGAATTTTGAAAATGTTATAAGGATTTAAAGGATATTGTCTTTGTTTTATTTGTTCCAAAAAAGAAGGAAATTGCTTGGAATTCAGCAAAAGTATGTATGATAAACAGAAGATACAGTTTTGCCAAAAAGAAGCATTGTCTACATGTCATTGCCGAATTCAGTTTTGTTATAGTCCATGACATGTTAAAATCTAATTTAAAGTATCAAAACTAGTAGAAAACTAGAAGAATTGCTTGTCTTTTGACTTTTGAAGTAACATTGGGATCAGGAGAAATAATTCTTAACAACATATTCTGATAGGAACCCACTTTGGTTTGGGCCTCAAATGCAATAATTGACCCAAATTGGTAATGCTGTTAACAAGTGGAGATATTGACTGGAATGCCCTCCAACAGAATAGAGCATGAGTGTCATGGAGTTGGTTATATATAGGGGAGGAAGCAAGGAAAGGGGGATCATCTGGAATCTTGGCAATTGCTTGGGCCCTTATTGGGATTGGGAGAGCGTGTAACCTCTATAATTGTTGCACAACTATCTTTAGCTTATCATTGTTTACTTTTCAGTGTAATTTCTATAATGAGTGCATCTTGACTCCATAGTTGAGTGAGCTTTGCTATTGTAATTTCTTTTTAATCAATATGTAAGAAGAAAACTGATGTTATTCAGGAAAATCTTTGTTGTTTGTTTATAATTGTTGATAAATGGGAAGAGGTTTGTATCAAATTGGTATCAGAGCTCCGATCTACGAGCTCTGTGGTATGGGTACTATACGAAACCTGGAGAAACGAATGGATGCTGTGGAGGAAGAGCTGCGCAAGAACGATGTAATACATGATGAGGTGATTCGAAGGATGGAAGCAAATGAGGTGGCGATGACGGAAATCATGAAGAGGTTGGATGAGATGGCTGGAAGGAGGAGGAGACAGTCTCGCGATGAGAAAGATGACTCTGATGATCGAGTTTCAGGCATTAATGGAGGAAGGATAGACAGGAGGTTTAACTTGGATGCTTCAGTGACCAGACGATTCCAACTGGATGTGTTGGACAACCCATATGGAGCCCTGTACACTCTTAAACAAAGCGGTAGTGTGGGGAAATTTCGGTCAGAATTTGAGAAGATGGTGGGAGCTATCCGATTCGAAGACGAAGACCTACTAAAGGGGGCTTGGCTGAATAGGGTGCGTGCCAGCATACGCGAAGAAATTCTGAGGTACCCCCATCTGAGTTTGTCGGAGACGATGAAGTTCTCTCTCAAAATAGAGAAGCGTAATGCAGCGTGGAGAGATGAGGGCTGGGGACTTATGTCAAAAAATTGGGCCCCTCGTGCGTTGGGTTCGCACGCTTCAAAGGGCCCAAATGAGTCCAAGGGATGGGGAAACAACCACTTGGTCCAGGGTAGTTCAAACGGCCCAAATCGTAATACCCTTGCAACTAATAATAGCCCTAACTCTGGTACGACAGTCACCAAAAGTGGGACAAACAAAAACACGAAGGAGGGATCTACGGCGAAGGCGTCAGCCCCAGTCGCGGGTAACCAGGCGTCGGAGGGGTTCTCCGGTCAGGGACGACGGCTGTCTCAGGTCGAGCTACGCGATCGTCAACAACACGGCCTCTGTTTTACGTGCTATGAGTGCTGGAGTCCCAGCCACAGATGTCAGGTCCGTCAACGACATCCTTTGGTGGTGGACATGGACGACGAGGAAGAAGGAGAGGGGATGATCGAAGAAGAATGGGTGACTTTGGGGCCTGAAACGAACGCGGCTGAAAAGGATCTACAACTTTCTTTGCATAGTCAGTTGGGACTCACTTCAAATCTGGTTCAGGGTGCAAATTCAGATCCAAAAGAAACCAAAGGGTGGGTCACAACGAATTTGGGCCATGACAACTTAAACCATATGAGCCCATTTAATCCTTCAACAACAATCTCTAATACCCCAAACGAAGGGCAAAACAGTTCGTGCGTTACTCTACCAGAAAACCCTAAGGAAGGGTCATCAGAGAAGGCATCTGCGTATGTCGCCAGCAGCTGCTCGACGGAGAGCCTCTTCAGCCAGGGGCGACGGCATTCCCAAGCTGAGTTCCATGAGCGACAGCAATGTGGGTTGTGTACCAAGTGCGAAGAGCATTGGAGCCCCAATCACAGATGTCAGCTCCCTATGCAACGTGTAGATGACTATGACGACAAGGAAGAGGGAGAGAAAAACAATGACAGAGCAGCAGTGGCAGCTTTATCAAGCGTTGGAGACGTTGGCCAAAATCCTCCGTTGGTGGAGGTTGTCAATAAACAAGTCCTTCCCGCCAACATTTCTGAGTTTATCTCCTCCTATCATTCTGCGACGGTGGATATCAGAATCAAGGAACCCATTAGCTTGCTTTCAAACCGCCTGGGATCATGGATGATAGCCAGAAAGGAGAACGACGGAACGTGGGGGCCTTAGGGCTGTCTTGAAGCATGGCGAGAGTTAGGAAACTCTAAGGTAATCAACGTAGTTAATAGTTTTCACTTAGTTAATGAAGATAAACAAGGAATTTTATGGGATTAAAATTCTGATTTTTTGGGACTAGATGGAACACAAGAACAACCCGTGCCTAGCTATGTAAACCAATGGAAAGGTATACTTGGAAAAAAGCATTTTTCCACTGTCATTAATGTTTTTGATCAACATGATAAGGTTGTTGGCTACTAATGAAAATCTTATAATCAGAGCTCATGTTACTTGTTGTATGAAAACAAAGGCAGAAACACTCAATTGCAAATTTGTAGTTAAGGGTTCAAGGGCAGTAACAAAATGGGATCCTGGTGGGAGTTATCATGCTTCAAGCATATATGGGTCCCAACAATTCAAGCAATGGGATCCCGAAAAAATTAACATCACCTTGAGGACAAGGTGATTGTTAGGGGGGGAGTATTGATAGGAACCCACTTTGGTTTGGGCCTCAAATGCAATAATTGACCCAAATTGGTAATGCTGTTAACAAGTGGAGATATTGACTGGAATGCCCTCCAACAGAATAGAGCATGAGTGTCATGGAGTTGGTTATATATAGGGGAGGAAGCAAGGAAAGGGGGATCATCTGGAATCTTGGCAATTGCTTGGGCCCTTATTGGGATTGGGAGAGCGTCTAACCTCTATAATTGTTGCACAACTATCTTTAGCGTATCGTTGTTTACTTTTCAGTGTAATTTCTGTAATGAGTGCATCTTGACTCCATAGTTGAGTGAGCTTTGCTATTGTAATTTCTTTTTAATCAATATATAAGAAGAAAACTGATGTTATTCAGGAAAATCTTTGTTGTTTGTTTATAATTGTTGATAAATGGGAAGAGGTTTGTATCATATTCATTTTCTTACTTTTATGAGGAAAATAAGTATCAATTTTACTGTGTGCATGACAACTATTCTATTCCCTAGCACTGTTTCTGAAAAGAAACAATTCTTTTCTATTTCTGTGCCTTGGAACAGTTTCTGAGAAAAAAATGTGTTTGATAACATGTTCTATTTTTATTCCGAGAATGAGAAATGTGTTTGATATCATAACAAATAATATAATAAAAATAATTTCTATTAAATATAAAAAAATTCAGATCATCACTTTCATTTTTATATGGTGTGGTTATGGTGGTGGTGGCGGCGGCGGCAGTACGATAGTGGTGGTGGTAGTGACATGGTGATGATAGTGGTGGTGGTTGCGGCGGCAGTACGATAGTGGTGGTAGTAGTGACGTGGTGATGATAGCGGTGGTGGTTGTGACAGCAGTGGCTGCGGCGATGGCAATGATAATGGTGGCGGCGACGGTGGTAGTGGTGGGGATGGTGGTGGTGAGGTGACGGCAGTGGCTGCGACAATGTTGATAGGTATGGTGGTTGGTGGCGACAACAATGGTAGATGTGGCATGATGGTGGTGGTTGTGATGGCATGATGGTGGTTGTGGCAGTGGTTGCGGCGGTGGCGGTAGGTGACAATGGTGGCGGTGGCAACGGCGACGATAGTACTAGTGGTGGCAATGGCGTGGTGATGGTAGTTGTGGGGGTGGTGTAATGGTGGTGGTTGGTGGCGGCGGCGGTGGTGACAGTAGTGGCTGCGACAATGGTAGTGGTGGTTGGTGACAGTGGTGGTAATGGTAGCAATGGCGTCATGGTGGTGGTAGTGGTGGCGATGGTGGTGGTGACAATGGCGTGGTGATGACGGTGGTGGCGGTGACGACATTGGTTGCGATGATGGTGGTGATGGTTGATGGCGGTAGTGGTGATGACGGTGATAGTGGAGGTGGCGATAATGGTAGTTGTGCTGGTGGTGATGGTGGCATGGTGGTAGTGATGGTGGCGGTGACATCGATGTGGTGGGGGGTGGTGACGACGGCACAAATGGTACAACGGCGGCGGCGGCGATGGTGGCAGCGGTCGTGTCGGGATGATAGTGGTGGTGGTGGTGGTGGTGATGATGGTGGAGGTTGAGAGTGATTGAGAGAGATAAGTGTTTCTCATTTTGTGCCCGGGAATAAAAAAACAGAAATTTTCTTATTCTTTTTTCTGTTCCCCAGCACAAAAATTAAATCGGTTCATCCCGGGAACAAAAAAAGAAACCGGTTTTATCAAACGAGCTATCCATTTCTGTTCTCGGGAACAGAAATTAAAGAAAAATTAATTCCTGGAAGGTTGTCATGCGCACCCTTAGGCAAAGGGTGATTTCTAGTTGATACATGGAAATAAGGTAGAAGGATAACTTTTTATTTATTTATTTTTAATTAATAAATTCATGCTTATCTGCATTACAGAATAATGACATTGTAAAGTGGGACAAAAACCCTAAAGCACAAGAAAAATATTTTCAGGATTACGCAAGTCTATTCGCACATTATTTATTAAAATTGGAAAAAAAAATTGTAATTGACTTTAGGGGAGGGTTATATTTACCACTAGCTAAACTTACCACCCTTACAACCGAATAAATCTTTGGTACTACTGCTGTACCAAAGATTCAGTGCATTCCACTAATGAAAATATTACATGTCAGTTATTTTTTTTCTGTCAAATTTTTTTTCTCTTCTTTGATGTGTAATATTCTCATTGATGAGATGCACTGAATCTTGGTACAACAGTAGTACCAAAGATTTATTCCTTACAACCAATATAATT